ACTTCTTTCTATGCTTCCAGTGCTGAGGCATCAGAGCAATATGCCCCTGTGCTTTGTGGAGACTTTGAGCTGAGTTTCAGCTTTTCAGAGGCTGTTTGTTCCCTCTATCCATATCCCCTCCCTCAAAAAGCCTGCTCTGGTGTCTCCTTTGCCTCCCAGCTTTGCTGATCACTTGACTCGAGGAGACAAAACATGAGACCAGGTTCCTTCCATTTCCCTGGTGCATGACTCATACTTAATGTGGAGGTTATATTAATTACTGTGTGCTCGGCATGTAATGAGCCTGAGAAGGAGCCTCCTCTCTTCAGCTACCCAGAACACACAGGGAAATCACTGCATGAAGTAAAGACATTTCCCAAACCCTCAAATCTGTGTATTTTATACAAGGGGGCAGACTAGCCATTGCTCAAGTTCCTTAAAAAAAAGGATGGCAGAAACTGAGAAATCTGGGCCATAGTCCTCACAGTCTCTCACAGGCTGCCTTTGTGCCCACTGGCCAACCCTTTTGGGCTCTGTCTCCTGATTTCCTGTCTGTTTGGAGAGATAATAGTGACTGGCTGGGACCAGGCTCAGCTCAGAACATTTGTACAACTTGACATCATAGCATTAAAGAAGGCCAAGAGGAATTATCCTCAGGTTTTTTTAATATGTGGAAAATACCTTTTTTTCTTATTTTTTTTCCAATAAATAACTTCTTCCAGTCCTGTGTGATGGTGTTATGGTCTAACATGACTGCATGTACTGGATCTTCTGTGTCTTTGTCCATTGACATCTTTCTCAAAGTGATGGGTATTTAACATCCTCTCTAGGATTTTACACTAAAAAGATACGCTGTATGATGTCCATAGCGCATAATTCCATGGGCTCATGTGCAAAAGAAAAGTTGCTAGGTAAAAAGTTTCATGTGAGAAACAACTCAGAAAACAGGTTTCTATCTGATTGAAGGGAATAGATACTTGGGTTTGGCTTGATGCGAATGAAATTGCACTGTGGGCTGTGTAGCAACAGGGCAGGCTCAGCTTTGGCTGCAAGCTGCCCATTCTGCCAAGCCTTTTCTGTTCCCTGCTGGACTCAGTGGTGTGCCTTCCATGCATTGATTTGTTCACGGGTTTTCCTTCTGAGGCTTCTTCCTCTGTATTCCAAAGCAGTTCGGGCGCGTGTTCCCTTCCATGTCACACCACGATCAGCAATCAACTGGGAGAAGCAGGGGCGGGGGGGGGCGGGGTGGGGGGGGGGGGGGGGGGCACCCTATCTGTTACAGGCCTTTAGTTTCTTTCAAATGTCTTTTTCTGTCTCCTAGTTAGAATCATGGAATTTCCTAAGTTGGAAGGGACCTACAAGGATCTTTGAGTCCAGCCTCTGTCTCTGCACAGGACACCCCAACAATCCCAACCCTGAGAGTGTTGTACAAATGCTCCTGGAGCTCTGGCAGCCTTGAAGACATGACCAAACCCTGTTCAATGCCCAGCACTCTCTGGGGGAAGAATCTTTCTCTGATATTCACCCTAACCCTCCCCGTCCCATCTCCAGCCATTCCCTGGGTGCTGTCTCTGTCCCAGGGAGCAGAGATTGGAGCTGCAGCCCCCAGGGAGCTCTGACCTCAATCTTCCTTCTCCAGCTGAGCAAACCAAGTGCCCTCAGCCACTCCTTATAGGGTCCCTCCAGACCCTTCACCATCTTCATAGCCCTCCTTTGAATATTCTTTCTTATACTGCAGTGACCAAAACTGGAGACAATATTGGAGGTGAGGCCACCCCAGAGCAGAGCAGAGTGCGACAATCCCTCGCTGGCCTGACTGGCTGTGCTGGTCCCGGTGCCCCTCAGGACAGGGATGTTCCCCCTGGCTGCCAGGGCAGTGCTGACTATATCCAGCTTTCCATCCACCCTGCAATTCAGGCTTGGAGATCTTCTTGCTCTGTCAACTTCTTTGGTTACAGGCTGGGGACAAGGGACAGTATTGGTTAATGTGTACCTTTGGGACATTCACAGTGTGTAATTCCTCATGTCTATCGTAATGACAAATGTGAAAATATTGTCAGAAATACTTATATAGCATCCTAATTTGAATTTGTGCATCCTGACTGCAGTCTGTGATGTTTCTCTGTTTAACAAATTTATTTTAAAGTGTGGTCAGTCAAAAAGAGTTTTGTAATCCACAGAAGAGTCCACTGAAAGCCTTATGCAATACAGTATGTAGCCATTATATGTCTTTCTAAGTTACTGTGTCCCCTTACAATCACTTTACCAAATGAGCTACTTAAGAGTATATTTTAAGGATGTTTTCAGTTTAATTATCACTGTTGAAAGACATATCTCCGTTAGCTTTGTGCATACATGGCAAAGAAAACTTAGTCATGGACTGATTCATGTTTTATGTAAGTGTTTTAGTATCAAGCTGAGTGAATTCAGGTTAGTTGTCCTTTTAGAAAGGCTGAGAGGTAAAATCCTTAAAACGTTTTTAGGAATCCTGAGGCAGAACATCTTCATTTTCCCAAACTGGAGTTCCACTATGGGATGGGGAAGGAAGATCCCACAGTTAACAGCTTCCTAGCTTGCAGCCAGGCTGTTCCCCTTCTGCTTGCCACTGCTGTCCCTGCCGCTGCTCCTGGGCTGTTTCCTCTGTGGCCCCATGCAGGTTGTCCCTGTGCCCAGCGCTCCCCTGGCAGCAGACATGAAAAGATGGCTTTTCCTTTGAGAGCTGCATTGTCCTGCAGTTGTGTGCATTTCAGTGCCATTGTGAGCTCTGTCCCCACGTAAAAACAGAGCTCTTGTATCCCCAGCACAAAGGCCAAGCTGTTGTGGGGGGAGGAATATCTACACACCCGTAAATTTTCCCCTTCTCCTGTTTATTCTTCGTGCCATTCAAGCCCATTTAGCGAATGACCAATTAACTCCACATTCATGGCACATTCTGATGGGCCAGATTTCTCCTATCTAAGATGACACAGCCAGATTTCCAAATACCTTCTAGTTGAATGCGGCATTTGGTTTTCCTTGCTCTTTAATTCATGGTTCCCAAACCGTTATTCCAGTTATTAAACAAATCTACTCTTTTTTCCTTTTTTTCCCCTCTCCATTCTTTCATCAGCAATATTGTAAAATATAGGGAAAATGTGTACCAAATTGAATTCCTTGTGCATCCGGTTTTTTATTATTGAGAGTAAAACTGTTTAAAGATATTTGTCCTTCAATAATTATTCTGCTAGCTGTACATGGCACATCACTGCATACGGAAATTTACAGGAAGTAGGAGTTTTACATATCAATTTCTATGGTAAAAACATGCTGCAAAAGCAATAATTTGTAAAGTAACTAATCAGTGAGGAAAACACAGTTTTCACTATGATATGGTATTCACTAAATCAAAGCCCAATACAAACTGGGGAGGGGGGGAGGAAGATTCTGGTATTAAATGTTAGATCTGAATTATTTAACCATAACACAGAGTTGTAATGAACATTCCTGCTCTATATGGCTGCATTTTAAATCTTGTTGTGTGGAATTGAGAAGGACTAAGAGCAGTGACTAAATGAAAATTTACAAGTATGAAGGTAAATTATGTTAATAACTTTATTTTGATACCCCATTCTGGTGCCTGAATTGAATAAAAATTATATTTTGTGTTAAGTGGCAAGTCTGCAAAGAAACTGTACATTAACCCCTGATATACAGTGCTAGGATTAGGTACTGCATGGGCTTGTGTTCTTAAATAATATATATACGAGGAGTGAATTAAAACCCAAGTCCTAATAGGTAGGTTGTCAAACTTTGCAGCATCTTTTGTGGTGCTTCTGTTTCCCTCCTCAGAAATTCTCTGTTTTCACAGTGTTGGGTGGGAGTTTTGCCTGAGAAGGATCAGTGCACACAGGACAGACCTGTCTCACCTACACCTGGTGGCACTGTGCAGGGAGTCAGTGACACATTCCCATCACTGGTGCCTCATTAACTGGGGAGATCCTGCAGTCTGGAAGGAGACAACCTGATCTGTCCCAGACAATGTGCAATATCATGTGTAACACTGGGCCACATTTCTTACCCGGTGAAAAACAACATTAGAATTAGAAGCATTTTTTATCGGTCACAAATTAGTTAAGCAGGAGGAACAGAAGGATTCCAAATGCAGAGAAATATTTACTACTTGAATGTCTGAAGAAATCAGCAGTGATAAAAAGGAAATATCACAAAGGGAATGCCAAACAGCTTAGTTGGGCTCTGAAAAACAAGTGAGAAGTCTTTAAATTTGCCTCTTTAAACTCGTCTGAATGTTTTTCTGGATTTTTGGGCTCTGGCCTTTTGGGGGAGAAAAGAATAATGCAAATGCCAAAAGGAGCTGGACAAAAAGTAAGCTTTGTATCGTATCTATGAGAATCAGACGATGTGTGTCATGCAAGTTATTACAGTCACAGTCTACAGTCTTGCCCTGATGGGAATGAGATTTGACAGCAGCACAAAGCAGAGGTTTAACTGACAGCACACACAGCACATTTGCGAGTCATAACGCCACAGTTTAATGACTGACGCATGTGGGAAGCTAATTCGGATTTTTTTTTCTTGAATGGGATAAATGAGCATCCAGTTAATACCAATCATGAATTCAAGCCATGTGACATAATTGATGCTACATACCCTGTTCTTGTTTTGCATATTCTGCAAACTGAGCTGCAGGAAAGGAGCCAGTTTGTACACGCATCCGGAGAGAAAGTTCATCCTGCTTTCTGACACATCCACCAATTGCAGCTGAATGCATCCAGCTTGCTGCTGTTGTGTTCACAAACTAATTACCCTTTCTCTGTTAAATAGCCTAAGAATTACAAATTGTATGCCTGTTTTGAGAAAAAGTACAGGTTGAACAAGCAGACGTAGTATAAATAAAATATTTATATAAAAATAGTCTCTTACAAAATATACTCTCTTATCCTATGGTTGATTTTTCCAAAAGATGGAATTTTGTCTGGATTTTCTTATTTTTAGACATATTCCAAACAGGATTTTATTAATGTTTCTTTCTTTAATCGAAGAAAAGAAAAATAACCACAAAAACTGGTAAAGATTTGTAACCCCTACCACTCCACTTTTGTTCCAGACAACTAGCAGCAAACAGGAGGAAACAAACAAACAAAAACCCAAAAATACAGTGTGTTTGTGTATGTACATATATATAAAGACGCCAGCTTTTGTCCTTAAACATCCAGTACTGTAGAACATATCCTGCAAGTCCAACTAATAGAAATATCCTAGTCAAGAATAATATATACAGCTCCAGTGTTTCCTTGCTGATCCTACAAAATTATTCCACAAAGAAAGCCAGCTATCTACTTTAATTGCAGAATAGTTCCAAAAAGGTTGGTAAAGTTCTTTTTTAATTAAATAAATTAATATTAGTTTTATCTGAATAAATTGTTAAATATTGTTATTATTATGCCCAAATGTCCCAAATCCCTGTGCTAAAATCTGCACCTCACACACACGAGAAAGGCAGATAAAGCAGTGTCTACAGAGCCCTTCCACAGTTCTTTTTGCTGCAGCAAGTGCTGTGAAGTGGAAAGACGGGCAAGAGCAGTAGAAGCTTTTCACGAGTGTAGAAGCCTAAATCCCTGTCACTTACACACTCCCATGGGCAATTCACGGGGAGGCTCGGTCCATCCCATCCTGTGCAAAGCCCTTTTGTGGGCATTTCCCCCCTACCCCTCCCTGCTCCTCGCACACACAAGCGTTTGCCCACTCCTTTGCCAAACCAGGAGTTCGATGCCACAGCCGGAGGTTTCTCCCTGGCTGGTGTCTCTCCACAAGGCAGGCAGCGCTCCGAGGTGTAGGCTCACTGAGATGATCCTTTTCTCTGTCTTTTGTGTGTCTGGTGGCCCGGGGTGGGGCTGATTTGTTTTTGTTTCTTGGCTGACTTTGTAAGAGTCTGAAATGTGTATCCGCATAAGCGACGAAACGTGAGGAGAGAGGAGAGGGCTCCGTCCATCAGCACCTGTCCAGGGAGAGCGGCTCTTCCCCGCAGTCCCGCTCAGGTACGCCGGGGGCATGTGCAAATGTACGCAGGCCGGGAGCAGTCCCGGGCAAGTGCTCACTTACAAGTGTACACCTCTGTCCTCTCGCTGCACGTGTTGCATTTCACGTAGCAGCACCAGTGGAACTTGCAGTTGCACTGCCACACCCGGGAGTACTGGTGGGTGTTGTAGCCGCGGCCGCAGCACATCAGGTCGCAGCCATTGGACTGCTGCGCCGTCTTGTTGCACATCCTGCCCTGCGTGCCCACGCTGCCCGTCACCGGGTCCTCCTCGCAGTAGTTGGGGGATTTCTCTATGTACACCAAGTCTGTATCCATGGGTTTGCGGTAGGAAAGGGGCTTCTTGATCTTGAGGAAGGTGGGGCGCTTGTTGCGGCTGGCCCTGACAGGCTCCACCTGCACAGCCTCGTTGTACTTGTCCTTGAGGATGTAGCCCAGCTCCCGGAACTTGGGCAGCGTCGTCCAGCAGGTTTTAGTGGTGCAGGACCCCGAGACACCGTGGCATTTGCACTCTAACTTCATGTTTTCCTCCAGGATCTGTGGTTAGAAGAGCAGAGAAGGATGCATTAATGCCAGGACTGTTGGATGGATGCTGGGGGACACTCAGGGATGGATTTGGTCTGCAGTGGGAGCTGCCACCACACAGAGGTCACGCTGCTGTCCCGGGCAGCAAATGCTCATCAGTATGACCCAGTTTTGCCTGCAGAGCTGATTCCCCTGCTGCACTGCGAGTTCAGCAGGGAGGATAACTCTGCCTAACTCCACAGCCAAGGGACCAAAGCTCAAATGAGACCCTCCTCAGGCACAGCTTTTCTTCAACATAATCGCCCAGTTTTGAGGTTAACAAGCCTCATCTTCCCTTCTGCCTTCACATATCCTGAAACTCTGTCCCTGTATCTTCTCCTGCTGTTTACCAGCCCAGTCCTTGCCAAATAAAACTGGAGTGCAGCTTCGTCCCTGCTCTGTGTCTTGGGCCCTACAGCTGACCCCAGGCAGCAGCGATGCTGGGATAACGCAAGCAAACACACCTAATTCCAGGAATTCATTTCCCACTGTCTTTTACTTGAAAGAGGCCACAATCATTTTGATGATGAAATTCTGCCTAACCTGGCAGAGCCCAGCACTGGAAAGCCTAGCCAGAGGGAATTATCAGGGCTCAGGGAGTGGCCACATCATTTTTCCCCTGAGAAAACCCAGCTCATCCATGCAGCTCCAAACCTGGGCAGCCGGGAAGGCTGGAGGGAGGTCAGTGATATGGAAATTGGAATTAACCCTTTGTTACAGCCTCTCCCTCCAGTCTGGGGTGTTTGGAAGCAGCAGACACTGTCACTGGCCATTTTCAGCAGAAAACAGCAGCCTGCACTGAAGGAGCCAAGCCCAGTTCCAAGGCTGGACATGTGTGGGGACCTCGAGCCTAAGACCTCAGTGTGAGCTGGGGGTGGCAAGGACAGAGACTGGCCTAGAGGAAGGTGTCTCTGCTCACAGAGCAAGGGTTGGAATTAGATGAACTTGAAGATCTCTTCCTATGCAATCATTCTGTGGTTCTGTTAGTTTTAGATTCTTTGAGATAGCTTTATTTTTATTTTAGCCTCTCAGCAGATTGTCAGCACATGCGGTCTTGAAGACAGGGTCACAACCCCAGAAAGAACAGGTCCAAGCCTTTGACACAAGTGAACTCAGCACATGCTAGGTCACATTTTTGTGCTACTGGATTTAAACCAGCTTCTCATGCAAACTATCTAATGACTGCCCTAAAACTCAGATGTGAGAAAATTCCATATTCTGATCTATATCTTAACTTCTGCTCAAGCTTTGGATTTATCTTATTGTCTTGAGTTTCTCTCTCAGCCACTGCATGCTTCTTTTATTGCTCACTCATTCATAAGGCAGGACACTTGGAAGATAGATGAGGAGATGGAAAAGGAGTTATAGCACAGAAACCGGAAAAATAACATAAATTCCTTTAGCCTCATTTGTACCTTTTTAAAAGCTCTCTTTTTTGAAATTGAAATTGAAACTTGCCAGGGATACATTTCTCAGCCTTAATTCAATCACTGCTCTTGTAGAAGGGGCTGGCTTTACATCCTGGTACAATGTTCAAACTTGCAACAAAATATTTCCAACCTGCCTGCCATGGATCCACCAAATTGGCTTGGAACATTAACACAAAACACATCATGTGCCTTCTATCCAGGTAGGGCTTTTTTTCCCTGAAGTGTAGCTAAGCAGCCTAAATTGCCTCTTGGTTTATTTCATTACCATCCCATTTGCAGCCGCCAGTGGTCTCAGAGGGATGGGAGCTCCTTGGGAAGGGGCTGAGCTGGCAGCCTAATGTCCTGGCTGGGCTCTTGCCCTGGTCACAGCACCCCGAACACAGCCAGCCCCTGCTCTGCAGCTCTCAGCCAGGCCTCAGCATTAAAAGGCCTGGTTTTGCTTGAACAGGAAAAGTTAGAGCAACATCAGTTGAGACCCAGTGCCAGGGGTCCTTCCCAGAGGTCCAAAAACACTTGGAGGGGGACAGGAAGGAGCAGAGGGATGAGAAAGTGCTGGTTCATTGTTCTCTTTTCCATTTATTTTTCTGTATTTTCCTAAGGTTCACTGGCTCCCTCTCCCTTTCTCTCTGCACTTGTCAGAGGTGCCAGAGGTCCCAAACTCTGTGCTGGAATCTCTCTGGCACATCTGCCTCATTTCTGTCCCCTGCACTCTGCACTCTCCAGACCTGCCTCCTCCAACCCAGCCCATCCACCTGTGGCTCACAACCCCTTTTGTTGCTTCTGCTCCTGCACGCAAATCCATCCTCCTCTCCAGCCTTTTGGGGCCGTGTCCTGCAAGTTCAGCAAGTGATGAATTGACTCCACAGCTTTTAGAAATTAAGAACATGGAACTTGAACCATCTGGCCTCAGCAAAAGCAAACCTTGCAGTGGTGATCTGATGGTTTTACTGTACTCTGATAGCAGGTGCTTGGACTATTTCTTTGACATTAAAATATATGGATGGTGGTATTTTAATACTATTATATTATTCCAGTACTCTCTGATGAATCAGTGCCTTTAATATGGGATTCTTTGGGTAGGGACAGCAGGCCACAGTCTTTTCCTTGGCTTGTGAGACGAAAGCTGTGCCCTTCCCTTAAAAACTTGGTTTGTGTTAAAACCAGAAAACATTCTTCACCTTTTATTTCAGGATTTGTTTCTTTGAAGGAATTATCCTGCAGCTCATACTTTTTACATTAGATTAAAACTTTAAGTGTGTTACAGACTGACTTTTCTTAAAATGTAAGAGCCTGGAGGGCATAGAATTTCAATCCCAGATCCTCTGTTTCTTACCAAATGACCATATCCAGCTCCATCAGCCATGGGAAGTAAATCTGTATGCACCAGTGGGTGCTCTGAACTGGATTAAGTGCAGACAAAGAGCTGGAGTTCTTTTAGCTTTGTCCACTTTTTCTTTGAGCTCCGACAGCAAGCTGTCAGTACTTGTTTCTCCCTCTGTCTCCCTTTGCCATTTGCCTCTGGGAAATAGTTTATGTGGGGAGAGCTGGGCTAGCTCTCCATGCTGATGTTATCTCCAGATGCAGCACCTTTGCACACTGCTATTGGGAACACAACTGTTTGCTCTCCCCCTTTAGCTTTGCAGGGAATGTGTGGGGTTGGCCATGGGAGGGTGGCAGCAGCAGCCCAGGAGCTGAAGGGGCTGTTACTGCTCCAGGGTCCTGGAGCCTGGCTGGGACAGGCTCAGGCAGAGGTCCTGGATGTCCCACCCTGTTGGGGGACACATGGAGAGCTGGTTCTGTAGCTGGCATGCTCAGACATACCACTCACACCCACACAGGGCTCTTCTCAGCCCAGAGTCTGTCCCAGGTTCCTCAGTGGTGTGTTGGGCTCCCAGCACCAAAGCAGCTGAGCTCCCCAAGGACCCCACACATCCACGCCGTGGGGTCAGGGATTGCCCAGCCCTGGCTCAGCCAGCAGAACTCTGCAGCCCTCGGTGTCAAAGCTGTGCTGAAGGACCTACATCTCAAATCTGGAGATCATCCCACCTCCAGCAGGACTCCCATGGGAACAGGATCAGTACAGGCCAGGTATCCTCCAGTGCTGCAGCCTCAATAACCCAATAACACAATAACTGCACATACTTGCTGCATGTGCAGCCCAGGTAATTAGTGAGACACTGACTCCTGTCCTCCAAGGCCGTGATCTTGCCTAATTTTGTCTGACATCAGATCACCTGGGTCAGGAAATTCCTGTCTCCTGCAAATGTCTGCATACACACCTTCACTAGAGGTCAAGGAAAGCACAAGTATTGGCAGAATGAGTGAGATTTTCCCTCCAGAGAAGAACATGGCAGGGCTTGGAGAAAGGCCACAACATTTCTGTGGGCTGGGGAGGGCCATGCACAGATGCTCCTTTCAGCTGGTGGAAGGTAAAGATTGGTGATTTATATTATTACAGAGGCAATTGTAGCTCTTCAAACTTTGGGAATAATGTTGAGATACATTTGTTTTTCTATTGAGAGGGATTCATTGAATAAAAAATAATGTTTTAAGCTAATAGAATAAAGTCATGTCTTATTTAGTCTTTCAACAAAATAACTCGAGTACCAAATCATGTGTAGAGTGAGACCAGGAATTAGAAAGGTCACTGGGTGGATGTGTAGCACTGACTGGACAGACAGCAAAAGGTCTCTTAAAGTTATTAGGAAATGTCTCTGCAACTTGTTTTATCCAGGTGTGAGATTAATCTCAAAAAGATGCTACTGTTTAAGTAACTTGCAGGACTGTTTTAGCATCAAAGCTCTGAAATCTGAGGGCAGTACTAGTAATACTTGGTGCTTTTTGATTGGAAAAAAAAGAACAGGAGAGAGCACAAAAAAAGAAACCCTGCTGTCAGAGACAAATCCTACAGAATCTTTAAGAAATGTGAGAAACTGCATAAAAACCACTCAAATGCAAATTTAAAATTAGCAAAGGCGTACTTAAACAGAAAAGATGGAAAATATTCCCATCAGTGTATAGCCACTAATTATACACACAGAGCTGCTGTCAAATGTGTTCTGTAGGAGCACATTTTGCACTGATCTGGCAAACAGACTGGGACGAGCTTGGAAACGATTGTGTCCCACACTGAGTGACTCATTCCAGACAGGCTTTGATACGTCACTTGAACATCTCATGAAGATCTTATTAAGTGCAGCCAAAAGATTTTTTTTCTCATGTTTTTGATAAGTAAATCCGTGCAAAAGAATATCTGAAGTATCAAACAACTTTGCTCCTGAACATCACGAGCTGTGAGTATCCCAGAAATCCTGTTACCCCAGGCAGGCTGAATCCTTTTACTCATGACAAGAATTTTTGTGTTTTAAATAAAAAATGAGTGGGGAATCACCACAGCACATGACCTCCAGCAATCAAACCACCTTTGCACTTTCCTTGTAAGAGGTGTCTCAGGAAAATCAGGCAACCTGCTGGTCTGAGGGCTGGTTATGAAGAGAGCCAAGAGCATTCTGATAAATGACAGACTGCTGCAAACACCACAGC